CATAGGGATAACATGCAATCCCATGTTAAATCCCATAGGGTGGGGGGGCCGGGAGGGGGAGGGGGGCCGAACGATCCTATAAACCACATTATTAATACTGAATTGTGGTTAAAAACTAATAAAAGGAGAGTTTAAGAAAGTTCTCTTCACTTATATTAATATAAAGTAAAGTCAAAGAAAGACAAAGTCAACGAAAGAGAAAATATAAGGATCTCTCTCTCTCTCTCTCTCTCTCTCTCTCTTCTCGTAATAAATCGATGAAATAATCGCGACAATAGAAGTCCAGTTTTAATAAAAATGAAAAAAATAGACAACATTTCGTAATTCTCACAAAAATAGAGAAAATGGCAGAAAAAGCATTTAATAATAACTCATTTAATATTATATTTTAAACAATGGGAATGAATTTAATGATCGTTTTATTGGTCTGAAGGCATGCGTTTAGATCATCACTCAAACAAACATTTACCCATTATTTAATTGTTGGACAAATAATAACTTAACGATTATATAAATGACCAAAAAAATTATCAAATAATATCATAGAGTAGAGGAAAGCAGTCGTCAAATGCAGAAGAAATTGAATGAATCGAGAATTGAGAGAATATAATGGAAGTTAACATTGAATACACTGAAAGTAATATAAAATATATATATTCTTATCTATCATTGAATCAATTTTCAATCGAAATGAGTGAAAGTGTTTATAAATATCGAAAGTACTCACATATCATAAGCTTTAAGTTATTTTATTTTTTCAGTACTTTATGTGTTTGACTTTTTTCATCTATTGTAGGTTCGCATGCTATCCATGCTATTCACTACTGCTATTCACTACTGCTGTAACTATAATGTCACAAAATCCTATAAATAAGATACAAGTAATGTATTGCATCATAAAAAGCCGGACTCGTATGGAAAGGACTATTAGGCTTATACTGAAAGACATGTCACGACTGGCGAAGACTGTGCGACTCGTATACACCATTGGTTATTGTGATTAATATCAGAGAGAAATATAGTGGCGGTTAAGACAAGAATGGAGACAACAAAAGTGCAATTTCCTCAAAACAACAAACTTTTTTTGAGCCAAAAATACGCAAAACTTGTTTAAAACAAAACGAAAAATAAAATAAACGAAAAGAGAAATGAATTTTAGGTATTGAATAATAAAAAAGTTTTTCCAGCAAAAATAAAACTAGAAATTCATTCATTTTTTAATCATACCTACGATTGAATGAAATGCAAACTAAATACAAATTATAACCAAAAATCAAGGACAGGACAAACACAACACACGTATTGAACGATTCTTGTATACCAAGTAATAAACGAATATAAAAATCAAAAAATTATTTATGAAATAATAATAAAATCCTAATCGCATTGTTATTGCAGTGTATTATAAAAATTGAAACTTTGAGAGTGAAGTCAAATGTTATATACAATAACCAAATACATAATAAGAGCTAAATTCGTGTTCATATCATTAATATCGAGACACGAAATACTGTTTGCATTTAAAAAACGTCACAAATTTCTCTCTTCAATACAACAATAATTATTATTATTTCCATAAAACCTAACGTATAGTGCATTCAAATCTATAATCAAGACTACTATTTATGTGTGAATTTCCTCTTTGTATATAAGAAAAGAGAAAAATATGAATAATATTCACAAAATGCAGACAAAATATATTTATATTAGTTATTGATTGCATTGTGTTATTCATTCTTGTTATCAAATAATGATATATAAATATAACTTAATGTTTCGTTTACACAATTCCCTGACATAAGAGTTACGTTAAGTAAATATAATATCGTCTGAAATAAAATCGTTTAGTCAAAGAAATGAGTGGAAATAAAATTGAAAACACAAATACTTTTATTTCTTTTAACAATAAATTCTAATATTTATAACGAGTTATAATTTTCAATAAAAAATTATACATTCAATACAAAAAACTGGTATTGAATTAATAGTTTTAATTACTCTCTCTTTAAGGATATTGTGTTGAGAAATGACACCATTTCCTCATTAATGTTGGAAACAAATTCCAAACCCACTTATGGTTTGGTTTCTGATCTCAACGTATTTGAGGTCAACAATTGTGTTATGAGTTCGGGAGGGTTTGGGCACTCGGATGTGATGGCTTGGATGGTGTGAATGGTGTGAATCGCAAACAAAACAAATTACTCGACGAGAGAAAAGAGTGGTTAAGAGATCGTTCTCATCGATAATTATCATTAGTCTCTTTGCAAACCATTATAACAAATAAGTGTTGGCTTCGAATACAACAAATTTTTATAAGTGTTTCAAATCAAATACAATACAAAACAAATAACCAAAAAATATTGTGAAAACATTTCAGACAAAAACGGGAATTGAATTGAAATTCAACTCGAATTGAGTTCATAATAATAAAATCGAAAAACGTTTTACAATTTATTTAATTCAATACACAAAACACATACAGAAATAATAACGTCTTTCAAAAGTCTTATTTAAAAGGCACCAAAAAATAAGAAATACTACCAAAACTCATATGAATAATAAATTACTGATAATAAAGTTCATGTTTTCAAATATTTAACCAAAACTCCTAAACAAACTCTGTTTTTAATTTGTAATTATATAAGAGT